GACTTGGGAGCCCATTCCACATGGAGGGATGCTTTCTCAGCCCAGACACATGGGGGAGGGCCTAGGCCCTGCCCCGGGTGATATGACAGACTTTGGAGATCCCCCATGAAGGGCTTCACCCTCCTTGGAGAGTGGAGTGGGGATTGGGTGGGGAATTGGGGAGCGTTGAAGGAGCCAGGGGAGGCAAGCAGGGAGATCTGATGCAAGCTTGCTTCTAATTTAAATAAAAAAATGGGAAAAAAGGAAATGGAGATCAGAAACAAACAAACAAACAATATACCCAGAAGGTGCAGGTTAGGACAGGTTAGGTTAAGAAAGGCTTTTGTTGGAAGCAGAGATTCACAGCTAAGCACTGTGCTGAATTCCTGGAACCCAATTGTAGAGAGGGAGGAGTGATGAGCAAAGGGGTCAAGACCATGTTGGGGAAACCCACAGAAACAGCTGACCTGAGCAAGTGAGAGCTCACTCACTCCAGACAGCTGTGGAACCTGCTTAAGACCGAACCAGGCCCTCTGAATGTGGGTGTCACTTTTGTGGCCTGGACAGTCTATGAGGCCTCTGGCAGTAGAACCAGTATTTATCCCAAGTACATGAATGGACTTTGGGAGCCCATTCCCTATGGAGGGATACTGTCTTAGCCTAGATGGGGGGAAGGATGTAGGTACTTCCCCAAATGATATGAAGGACTTTAATGATTCCCCATAGGAGGCCTCACCCTCCTTGAGCAGTGGATGGGTTTGGGATAGGGATATGGTGTGGGGAATAGAAGGACAGGAGGGAGAGGGAACTGGGATTGGTATGTAAAACAAGACTGTTTTTAATTTAAATAAATATTGAGTAAAAAAAAGCTTTTGCTGAGCCTCCAATATCTCTTCTACTTCATTTTTTCCACTAGGAGGTAAAGGGGGTTTAATTAGACCTCAACTTGTGGTTGTGGAAAGAGGCTTCACTCAAAGGAACAATTCTGAATTTGATAATGTGCACAGTGAAGTTTGGAACAGAGAAAAACTGAAAAATTAATCTTTTTGATTCTCTCCCCTGGTAGACAGGAAGCCTACCAAAGACTTGAATAGACAAACATACTTGGATCATTTTTATATTTACATTGGGCTAACAATATTAAACACAGAGTTACAACTTTTTTCTTAAAGATGCTCATTTTATATATGCTTTAATATATAGTAGAGACCTACAAAGTCTTGTTATAATAACTCATGTTCTGTTATCAGAGGATTTTGATTCACCAAAAAAGAACACATTTTCCTCCTCAGATAAGGTCTTTCTCTGTAGTCTTGGCTTTTTTGGAACTCCCTCCATAGACCAGGATGGCCTCAAAGTCACAGAGATCTGTCTGGCTCTGCCTTCCATGTGCTGGGATTAAAATTATGCACCACCACTGTCCAGAAAGAACACTTTTATGATTATTCTTCATAACAATTTCAGTTTACTAGGTGATATAATGATAAAGGCATAGCACTAGAAGTTCCATAATCTAATCAATTATCACTGTCCTCTGAAAGGGTTCCTGCAGGTGGCAGACAGGGAAGCAAACCTCAACAAGGGGTTTCAGTTAATACCTATCAGCGTCCTGAAGCTTATATATGAGAGACAGGATAATAATAGAAATGTAAGGTCACTCTGGAAAGAACCATAATAATTGAATTACATCTAGACACGTGAGGATTATTCACCTAATTGTTGAATGGGACATTACACAGTATAGATAATAAGATGCTTTATTCTAACCATAATATTCACTTACATATTCATTCTATTGCTTACTTTTACTCATATGAATGTTAATTTTTCTCCATGGAAAACTTCAAAGAGAACTTGACAAGACTGTCAAGTGTTGAAAGTGCTCTTGCTCAGAACTGCAGCAAGTACTGAAGGCAAGAACCAAATTTACAAAGTTGTCTTATTGTTAGGTTTCAAACCCAGCACAAAAGGCTGAGGTGCCTACTTAACATGGCAAAGTAGACACTGGTCTCCACGTTCTCCCTGCATTCCTCAACTCCTATCTGTTATAAGGCCTTCCTGGCAGGCATATCTTGCCTCTACCTTGACTCTACAGCACAGTGGGCTGGGCTGCCCTATGTTATCCAGCCATTTTGGTTATCTGCCCATTTTGTCTGCTCTTTTTGGCCTCCAGGCTGCTGGACCTGCTTCTCCTTTGTCCCTCTACCCACTCCTCCTCCTCACATGGCACAGCTCAGTCTGGTCATGTTCACTCTGGACTCTCCCAGGTGCCCCTGCCTCTTCCACATATCTATGATAAACTTTCTCTTCTACTATACTTGGGACTAGCCATCTCTCTCTCTCTCTCTCTCTCTCTCTCTCTCTCTCTCTCTCTCTCTCTCATCTATGGCATCCAAAAATTTTTCCTTGACTTCCACATATAAGCTATGGCATGGACATACATCCATACCACACCCCCCACATCACTCATGCAAACAGAAAGAATTTAAAGTTCAAATTTTAAAACAATATAGGTTAGATCCCAAGTGGGAAAGAGACAAGAACTTTAAAAAATAATAAGACCACATCAATTACGTATAAAGAAAAAAATGTAAAAAAAAGCACAAAGCAAAGTGTTTCATAATAAAATAACTGAAAGCAACCATCTATTTGTTTCATAAATCTGCAGTTTTGATAGGGACAATGCCATGATGTTTAGGGCCACAAATAATGACCTTTTCTAGGTATATATCCAAACGAGTGCATCTTTCTTTCCTTCCACAAGTCTTCTCAAGATGGGCTAATGTGGGTTCTTCTTAACATTATGACATCAAGATGAATTTTTTTGGCCTGGCTTCTCAATTTCAAGATGGAGTGAAAAATATCAGGATGAATGCTACAGGTCTTTCTTTGTTAGACTCATGCACTTCTTCTTTATATCACATGCAAGGTCAGTCTGAGTACAATGTAGAATGAGACAATGTTTGACTTGAATGACAGGAGGAGGACCTATCAATTTAAATTGAATCCAAAATTTATTAAAACTACAATAAAAGTAGGAAAGCATAAAATTATATTGTCTATTCCCCCAAGACACTTGAATCCCTGCAAACCCAAATCCAGAAGGAGAGATCAGAGCAAGTAGAGATCAAAGAAGGCTTAGAAATAAGAAATTCTTTATGCTGATCTGTTGCAGCAGCACAGTGAGCAGCAGGAGAAGAAACAGTGGGTTTATGGTGCCTGCAAGAGCTGTGCACAGTTGATTCTGCATCACCCAGCCTTGAAGCAAGGGCGGGGGTGGGATTGGTGGCAGCCAAAGCTCCACGGTCAGAGACAGGAGCCAGCTGGAAGACAGGGCAAACAGGAAAAAAGACATTCTTTCAAAACAGAGGGAAGGGAAATGATTGAAAACAGAAGGGTATACATAGAGAAGTAACTTATGTGGAGTCAGGTAGAAGTCTACCTCCTAGAAATCCTGAATATGTGGCATGCATCTTACAGGCAATGTGACTGTGCTTAATATGATTTCCATCTCTGCAACAAACATAAAAAGTCCAACATAAAAAGCCAACACAAGAACACAATCAGGGAAGACCAGATGAACTCAGTTATGCAGTGGCTACCTTCATTCACACACTAACACCACAAAGACAGTAGAGAATTCACTTTGTTCTAAAGACTGGTCTAAGATCTTGTCTGATCCCCACTTGGTCTCTCCAAATATCTGGACTCAGAAACAGAAGTGAACAAGTCACCAATCACTGTGAACTTCAGCATGATTTTTCAGCAATTCTTAATTTTGTTTTTGCTTTCAATTTGTAAAGTTGGGGCAGTTGTAATATGGACTCCCTGGGGCCTAACTAGTCTCCTTTGGACTTGCTTCTTTTGGGGTCTATCCCTACTAACAATGTTTAATTTGTGGAGCCATGATTTTGGGCTCCCTGGACTTCAAAGTACACTGAGGTCTATTCCCAATCCCTGGTGCTGAGTCTAGGGTCTCCCAAGAAATCTTGTAGAGGCCTCCAAATGTTATGGAGTTTGTGACACCTTGGAAAAGACCATAAACTCAATCTAGTTATAATTAAATGTTTTATTAATTAGCTGATAGCAGGACAACAATATCTGAAACAAACTTGAGGTTGATAAGGGGGTGAGGAAAGGATTCTTATGTTAAAAACCTTTAGAAACTTCCAATATCTACATAAGCAAGCAAAAACTGGTCTATTCTGCTAAGTTTAAGTGGTCAAGGTAACCCCAAATAATCACTGGCTATCTGCACAAAGAAGTTACAGAAGCAGAAAAAGTAGTTATTCATATAACAAGTAGATGATCATTGCTATACATTTTTGGGTAGGTGGGGTCACTGAGTTTGGGATTACTGAGAATTTACAATCCAGGGATTAGAGTCAGAGACAAATGGCTAGTGAGTTCCATGATCAATGGTCAGCATAAAATGGAGTTATTTAAAGCCATCATACAGCCTCCTCTTCCTTATAGCTTCCTGAGTCTTGAAAGGGACTTAGGAAGACATCCCTTTTAGGACTGAGTGATCCAAAGTCTCTTACTCTCTGCACATTGTCCAGTTGTGGGTTTCTGTGTTAATTCTCATCCATTATGAGGAGATGCTTCTTTGATTGAACAAGGCACTATTATGAGTATAATAACATTTTATTACAATGTTGTTTAGCCAAATAATAGCAATAGGCTTTCCCCTAAGCCTGAGTGACCTTAGACTCTTGGTCACTTTAACAATGTTAGTATGGGTTACATCTTATGGAGTGATTCTTAAACCCAATCACAAAGTGTTTGGTTAGCTTCACAAAATTTATGTAATTATCACACTAGTGTATAGCTTACAGGCAGGTCATAGTTATAAGTTGCAGGGTTTGTATCTGGGTAACACTGTGTTTTGTATATCAATTTTGGTGATTTTTTTGTTTCTTTTCCTATAATGAGCAGAAAAATGCCAAGATAGAAGGAGTGAAAAGAATAACAATAAAATCAGGAAAATAAATTTTATTTATCTTTTCTTATTTGCTTGATAATATTTTCTGAAGACATGGCTTTCTCCTGATCAAATCTGCGTTATTCTTTTCCAGAGCAGAGTCTTCTTAAATTTCTCTGCTTTGGAATTCTTATTCTCAATGAAGGTTGTTACACTGAGGTCAGCTATTGTCTTAGGGGTTCTATTGCTGTGAACAGATACCATGACCATGGAAACTTTTATAAGGAAACATTTAATTGGGGTGACTCACTTACAATTCAGAGATTCAGTCCATTGTCATTATGATGGAGAGCATGTGGGGCAGGAGTAGTGGAGAGTGTTATATCTTACAGGTAACAGGAAATTGACTGAAACACTAGGTGGTATCCCGAGTGTAGGAACCTGAAAGCTCACCCCAACAGTGACACACTTCCTCCAAAAAGGCTATGCCAACGCCAACAAAGCTACACCTCCTATTAGTGCCACTCCCTGTGGAATTATGAGGGCCAGTCAGATTCATACTTCCACATTCTACTCCCTGACCCCCATAAGCTTGCAACCACAACGTAATACAAAAATCATTTAGTCCAACTTCAAAAGACTCCATAGTCTATCAGTATCAACAATGTTTTAAAGACCAAAGTTCATAGTCTCTTCTGAGATTCAAGAAATCTCTTAACTGTTATAATTTATAAAAATCAAAATCAAATAGTAGACCACATACTTCCAATATATAATGGCACAGGATATACATTATCATTCCAAAACCTGGGGAAGGGAGCACAGTGAGGAAGTACTAGACCAAAGAAAGACAGAAACTCCAAACTCTTCATCTCCATATCTGGTGTCAAAATGCTCTCAAGATCTCCAAGTCAGTTCGGCTTTGTTTACTGCAACATACTTCCTTCCCTTGGACTGGTTCTACTCTCTGTTAACAGCTCTCATCAGCCGGTATTCCACAATTCTGGTAACTCTAACATTTTGGGTTCTTCAAGGCAATCCAGCTTCAACTTGACAAATATGCCTTTCTACTAGGCCCCTATTTAGGGACATCCCTGACACATGCCTGTCTTCAGTGGCTTTATACCGGCACAGAGACAAATTACATAACCCATTTCTTCTATCCTTCATTCTAAAGCCAGAATATGGCCTACTTTTTTAATTATATCATCACTAGCTTTCTGCCTTTTACTCCCTAAGCTTGTCTGTCCTGAAACTGAATCTATAGACCAGGCTGGCCTCCAACTCAGAGATCTGTTAGTCTCTGCCTGGAAAACCAAAAAAATCTGTATATTAGTAAATCTTCAGGTCTTGAAATAGTAACTTATTTAAATTTACATACTTCATTTATAAGCTACAATCTTGAAGGAGCCACCTTCACCTAAATTGGTATTAGGTTCCCTTAGTTAATATGAAATTTTCCAGTTTTATACTTTTGCAATTATTTTCCAAGTCATTAAGTACTTCTTGCTTTGTGATTTTGTTCCATGAATCTGGAATAGTACCTAAATTTGTAAATTTTTTTCCATATTTCTCTTCTAGTTCTGATCTGAAGTGACAGATAAACCACTTCCAATATGGCTGGCTAGATGAGTCTGGTGTGATGCTCCATGTAGCAAAATTATCTCCTGCTTCTCGATATTTCTTGTATGGGAATGTCTGGAGGTCATCTAAAATAAATGAACGATCACTTGCTACAGAAGTAGTACAGATGTTAGTGACAAAGTAGTCTGTTTTATGATAATACCAACCATTGACAGCCTTAGGGCGGTGGAAAGGCACACTGTGGTCTCCTTCATGTGAGGGAACAGTGTTTGTACAAATTGCTTTACAAAAAGGACACTGCTTCCAGCAGCCACAGAGATGCTCAGAGAGAATTTTCTCAATGTCAGGAACCATTTCATCTATGAGCCTCCCTGAGCAGTCCTCTTCTACTTTCCTCATTGCAGGATCCAAAGCTGCACTCATGGCTTCTTTGAGAAACTCACTATCCTTTATCTCCTGGTGCTCGATGCTTATCAGGTTTCTTCTTGGAAAGATCAGGTTGCTCCCTAGGTGATCACAGAATGAATCCAACCAGTCAGAAGCAGTGCTGGTTTTATCTTTAGCTACTGCTGTGGACTCATGAATGGCAGAGAGGATGGCATTCTTGATGTCACCTAAACTTATTTTTAAAGAGGTCTTAATTTTTTTACCTTCTTTTTCTGAACAGTATTTTCTAATGTGTTCACTAATGTAATCCCTAAAGAAGGATTCTGGCTGATGAATGTATTGCCAATACTTATCAAAGTTTTCTTCTTCAGCTAGAGAATAGAGAATATGATTCTCCAGGTTAGCTCTGTTTCCATTGAATGCAGGGCATGTGGCTCGAATGTCCCCAGCTACTTTAAGACCCATTGTTACCCATACGGTGTCATAGATAGCAGGAGTGAGCTTGAGCCACAGGAAGTCAACAAAGGATGTGATGGAGGTGGCACCTTGGCAGGAGATCTTAAAACTCAAGAAGAAATCATCTTTCTTGCTCTCCAGATAGTTCACAGGATCATTTGCTTTCTTGAATGCCTTGTGCATTTCCTTGAAACTTTTAGATGCTCCTTGGAATAAGCACAAGGATAAGTCAATGGTGTAGTCTCTTGTAAATGTGTAGTCTTCCTCTGGGGGAACAGATTTCAGTTCATTTTCTATTATCCTCAGGATTTCATGAAAATCATTCTGACTGTAATCACGCTTTTGCTTCCAAATGTTTTTTATTGTTTCATTCTTTCTTGAATAAATGTTATTAGTAGTCTTATTAATGGACTCTTGATGACAGGTTTCTAAATTCTTTGAGCATATCATATACTTTTTTTTCATTTGGACATGCTTAGAATAATTGATTTCAAACTCCTCTCCAGACTTTACTTTCAGTCTTTCCACAAAGTTTTTCTCTTTCTTAAAATACTCCAGAAGGATATTTTCAAAATCCAAATCAATGTCAGGCTCTTTGACAGGAGGTACAGTCAAAGACACACTGTCGATCCAATTTGTCCAAAGTTGATTGAATTTCTCATGCAACTCTTCATCACTCAATTCTTTACCTTTCACATCTAAAGCCAACCTTCGGCTCCTCTCTAATAATTCATTTTCATACTGTGACTTTTGGTTATCTAGTCTTTCTTGACTTTGTCTGAGACTGATGAGTTCATTGCCTTTCCTTCTGGTATCTGAAATAAGTGTATCTCTAAGAACTAGTAGCTTATGTTCAAAACTTGCTTTCCATTGAATCAATGTTTCCCTATCTGTGTCTTCTTCAAAATATTTGTTAAATTCTTGTTTGATGGTTTCATATTTCTTATTAATTGGACTTTCCAGTTCATTAGTTGTGAGTCTCAAGGTTTTCCCATTTTGAATCTGATTGTTCAGCTGATTCTGTAATTCCAGCACATGATGCCTCAGCTCCCAAGTCCAGTGGTTATACATGGTTTCCAGTTTACTCATGGCTATTACCTCTTTGGTGTTCCTGAAACTGAAAATGAAGTTCTCAGTGACCAGGGCTTTCCACAAATCTTGAACTCTAAATTTGACATCTGAGATTTTCATGATCCTTCCTCTGGATTCCTGCTGGGCAGTTAAAAGAATACTATTCGTTAGTTCCTGGACATTGTGACTATAGAGAGGATTGGGAGGAGCCATTGGGGGATTGCCATTCCAGAGGTGAGCAAGGTAGTACACATGAGTATTGACATCAAACTTAATGACATCGTTGAAGCAGGTGATATTTGAGCACTCTTCCTGTTCAGCAGCTAATGCAGTCATTTCATCCAGTCTCTGCTCCAGTCTCCTTCGTCCTTCCATAGTTTGGTCTTTTGCTGTTACTTCCCCTACATTCTGATGGACAAAGAAGCAACTGGGGGAGATTTTCACTTGTTTCATTCTCAGAAAGGCCTGGACAACTATTTGAAGGATGTCCTGCATCTCTGATGGATTCTCCCCAAAAATATTGATCAGAGTCAAGTTTCCAAGGCCAATGACAAATGTAGCCAACTCATTGTCTCGATTCTGGGACTTGGTGTTGAGTTCTGTAGCCCGAAGTCCTTCTGTGTCTACAACAAGAACAAAATCAAAACCAAGCTTTTCTGTGAATGTTTCTTCCACCTTCAGGAGCTGCATATAGGCCCCCTTTGTACATCTGCCTGCGCTGACTGTGAACTGGAGCCCAAACAGGGTATTCAGTAGGGTGGACTTTCCTGAGCTCTGCAGACCAAGGATAGAGAGAACAAACAGCCTTTTATCTCCAACTTTCTCTGAGATCTTGTCCAAGACAGCTGCCATCCACTTTACAGGCACATATGAAGCATCCCCATCCATGAGCTCAATGGGAACACCAGCTACCATCAGGTCTGCAGCTATTTGGGGGAGGCAGAGGAAAAGGCTATCTCTGGAGGAGGAAGTTGCTTTCAGAGCTTCATAGATCTGGCCAACTTCTCGGAGAACATGCTCAACTCCTAAAGTACAGTTAAGAATCTCAGTAGAGATGGCTTCTATCTGTTTCTGCCTCTGGGAGCTACTTTTCGGTGCCTTTTGCTTTTCTTCCTGTAACACTGTCCACAAAGATTGTTGCTTTGCATGCAAATTCTCTAAGTGTACAGAGGTTAGGTTTTCCAAACCCACACTTAACCAGTGTAGGAAATAGAGTTTGCGGTAAATTTCTAAATCTTCCTTGAGAATTTCTAGGACAGAAACCATTAAATGGTTGAGAGGAAAGGCCTTTTAAAACTGCTGACATCGTATTTCCTGTTTTTCTTCCTCAATCTCACTCTTGTGTTGTTCAATGCTCAGATTCCCCTTTTCTCTCAGATGATAGAGTTCCTTGTCCTTCTTACACCAATGATGCCAAAGTTGTCCCTGAAGGGGAAGCAAGTTTTCTTTTATGTCAGGTAACTTTAATAGCTTCAGAAAGTCCATTATAGTCTGTGCCTTTTCTTTATTTTCCCTTATCTCTCTTTTATCTTCATCAATCAGAAATCCTTGTTTTTTTGCTATCTTTGAACAGTCCTCTAAACTGAGAGTTGTATCAGAGAGTTCTAGAGAATATTTGATGGCGATTGTGAGCTCCTCTCTTAATTCTGCCTCATTTATATTTCTGATGCCAATTTTCATCCTTTTCCCAGAATTATTGGCTATGGCCTTTTCTTTGTCATCAATCAAACAGATCAGAGGTCTCAATGACTGACAGAGGTGTCTGACAAGATTCTGGTTTTCTTTGTTTTTATCAGAAGCTGACATGAGGATCACGATGAGAGAAGAGACATCCTGCAGGAAGCTGAGTTGTTGCCTATGTTCTTTGGCATCTCCATGAAGATTGGTGAAGGTGACACACTTGTCAAACATGTCCTCGCCTTGACAACCAGGACAGAACCAGCAGATCTCCACTACTCCCTCCATAAGGAGACAGTGTTTGTGGCTTCCTCTGCAGTGTCTATGGAAGAACACATCATGTCTACTTTTACTGAGGAGAGAGTTCATGATCTGAGACTTGGAAGCAGAGAGGCCATTTCCAACCCTAATGAAGGACACAATGGGGGAAGAGACTTGGCACATCTGCTGATTCTTGTGACTGTAGCTTTTGTCCTGTGGTGATTTACTTGACTCTTGCCAACTTCTTCTAATTTGTCTTAGTGACCAGAGAGAAAATTCTATCTGAGAAGTGTTAGGATTTGGCACCAAAAGGGGGAGTGCAAATTGACAAATGGAAAGTTTGGACAAAATATATTGCCTGGCAAGATCATCTGCACAGTGAAAAATGGCCATCTGGATGTCCATTGGGTGAATATGGGACTGGAACTCAGAGGCAGAAGGATTAGTGACTTCATCTCTATCATCAAACAACTCTTCATATGGATCAAAAGCCTCATTTTCCTGGTTGCAAGGATATACAGAGTTTTGGGCTTCTGCATTTCCAGCATTTTTGAAGACTAGATGTCTGAACCCACAATCCAGCATCAGTAGCTTTTGTAGGAAATAGAAAGGAAGTTCCTGTTCAGATCTTGGCTGTGTATTGTATACAGAATTCTTATAGATCAGATGGAAGTCAGCTCTGCTCATCTTTTTTATGTAGTGTTGCTCTAGACCTAGACGTTGGAGTAATGCTAGGAAAGAGTCATTTTCTTTGATTTCCTTCTGTGCGTTTTCATTGTCTTGTTTATTATAAGCCTCTTTTTCTTCAGGGTTGAGACTTTGTTTTTTCACCTCATCCATCTGCAAAGTAGAGATAGTGTCTGCATAGTTCCCATCAATGAGTAATCTCAAATTATTCTCTAGATTCTCCCAGTCATGACCTGTTTCAAATTTTTTGAGGACATGTGCAACTTTAGTAGACAGTAAGTGCTCCATGTACTTCCTTGTTAATGTCAATCGTTGTGCCTTTTCTTCTGGAGAAATGATTGAGACCCCAAATGTTGTTGTCAGAGCTTTGAGTACCAGGAATGCCTGTGCCCTGTCAGTGCAGATAGTTTTGAGTTCCTGATATCTGTGCTGGACAGTTTGTATTTCATCCAGAAGAAAGGTTAACTTGGCATACCCCAGGAGAGGCTGAAAAATACTGCTTTCTAGCTGGTAGCCTGCACCAGCTGCGATGGAGAGTAGTAACAGCTGCATATCTTTCTGCTCTGCTTCTCTGAGGTAGATCAAGAAGGAGTCAAGAGCTGTGATGACCTCACAGGTAGCCTTTCTTTGAGCCTCTTCTACTGTTTCTGTGAACTCAGAGTTGATATTTACTTTCATGAGAGCCTTTTGGATTTCTTTCAAACTTTTAAGGAAGTCAGACAATTCAGTGATTTTAACTTGTTGTTCCTCTGAGTCTTTCTGGTAGATCCACTGCATGATTGACCTTGCTTGAGGAAAGTTTTTCACTTTGTTGACATGAGGTTCTAGAAGACTACAGAACTGAGATTTTATAAACTGGGTCCTTTTAATAGATGTATTTTTACAAAAGTTGACAGTATCTATAAGAAAATTCTGCAGGTCCAAATCTGTGAGACACCTATTAATCCAAATATCATAGCCTTTTGTTTTGTGAGCCAATGTTTGCATGAAATTCAGTAGCTTTTGAAGCTGCTCTTCAGGGTCAGAGACCTCCCAGGATTTCATATCTTCTAGGAAAAGTCCTGCTTCCTTTTCAGAGACCAGAAACTCTGCAGCCTGGATGTGGGCAGCAAGTCCAGTCAGAGCAGAGTAGTTATCTTCTAGGCAGTTAGCCACCAGAAAGGGGTCCTTAAAATTGCTTCTGTGATTTGATACGATGATGTCCCAAATGGGCACCAGATGAAGTTCTCGGTCAATGACAGACCAGGTTTTATTGCTAATGAGAAGGCCATTTGTCCACTGAGAAATTCCATTTGCTTCGGGTGGTCCACCTATCTGGGCCACAGATAATTGGACTTGGATTTGGAGCTGTTGATTAGTTACATTTTGGCAGTATTTTATTGAATATGAACCTGATGTTGTCATCTCTCCCCCAACTTCACCTCCAAAACTGCTTGAACTTTGCCTCATGTAATTATTCAAGGCTTCTGCTGTATGCCATTTCACATGATCCAGCTGGTCACTTCTGAAACCCTCTGAAACGGCCTTCCAGCAGTAGATTCCCCCAAGGTGCAGAGGACCTTGATTAGCATGAGAACCAAATCTGTTGAAGAAGTTTTCAGTCATGTTCCTCAGTGAGAGGAATCTGTCTGGTCCATCAGTGAGTTCCAGTTGCTCTTCAATGATTTTCAGTTCCTTGAGTGCAGCAGTGGAGAGTTGCAGCTGATCAGTTCGAAAGTGGAACGAGGCCAGGGGCACATAGCTGAACTTGGATGAACAGAAATAAGAATCCTCTGAATATGAGTGGTGAATGTCTTTAGATCCTGAATGCTTGCTTTGATCTATACCATCTTCCAGACTAAATCTCCAGCACCCACCCTTGTCTGATATCATTGCTCTAAATCCCTGCTTCTCCAAAGTTTGAATGAACAGGGATTCTTCTTTGGAAGATGTGAATTCTTTTGTTTCCATCCATTTCCCTTGCTCAGGTCCAAAAAGGGAGAATTCCTTGGGGACTCTGAGCAGTCCTTCTCTTCTTGTTACCAGGTCCTTTTGGTGGCAGGTCTTGTAAATTCCCTGAAGGGCCAGCCCTCCAGATGCCCATCTTACCAGGTCTCTATCTGAGAAGTTTTCACTGTTTGCCAGTGTCTGTTCTATGTGACTGAGATGTCTCTCCATTGTTTCAGTGACGTCTTTTAGGGGCACTTCGGGTCCAGGCCAGCACTCTTCAGGGATCTCCATTGCTTGTCTCAGCTCTGCTTCTTTCCTCCTCACTGCCTCTTCCTGTCTGTGCTTCCCTTGTGACTGCAAGGCCCTCAGTTCCTGCAGTGCCTGTCCTGCCTGCCTCTGCCTGTTCTTTATCATCTGTCCTGGAGTCTCCTGGAACTCTGCAACACTATTTGGCTGTGAGAGGTCAAGAAGCTTCTCTAGGGCCTTTTTCTCCCATGTGTGTTGTGTCTGGGACTTCAGCTTCTGGAGGTCTTTTTCGTCTAAGTGTTGTAAGGCCTGGGCACAGGTCACACCCAGGTCTTCTTGAAGTTTAGGCAGCCAGTAGTCAACAGACAGCCCCACTTCTGTCAGCACCTCCTGGAGATTTTGCTGTCTTCTAGGCTGAGGCTCATCAGGGGTGTACTTTGCTGTTGCCATGGCTCTGTGAAGAACAGATACTTATTTAGTCTGTGTCTCAGTTTTAAGCAATCTTCTACACACAGTCCAATGTGTGAGTGTTCTAAGGAGGCATGATGGAGGAAATCCTTCTGCATATATGCTTCTCTTGTTAGTTGATGAACAAAACATTAATTGGCAAGTAGACAGACAGGAAGTATAGGTGGGGCTACCAGACAAGGAGAATGCTGGGAAGACAAATGCAGAGAGAGAGAGCCCTCGGGGAGATGCATTGTAGCTGCTTGGGAGATATGGCATTCTTCGGTAAGCCAAAACAACATGGAGATATATAGATTAATAGAAATGGGTTAACAATTAAGAAAGCTAGCCAATAAGAAGTCTGAGCCATCAGCCAAACAGTTTATAATTAATATAAGGCTCTGTATGTTTATTTGGAGTTAAAGTGCTGTGGGACAAGGTGGGAGAGAAACTCTGTGTACAAATGGCACCCTCAGTGTGAGGCAAGAATTTCCAGATTAAACGGAACTGCAGTGGGCTTCCTTGTCTCACAGTCTCATGTAGCCATGATGCAGAGACACTGTGGCAGTCGGGCTTGAACACAGCATGGCAGATTCTTGCTGTGGTGCACAGAGGCTGCTTCTCTGAGTTGCACAGCATGCTGCACGGCAGACTTAGCTTTTACTCATGCAGACAAAAAAGGTCTGTTGGCAGTATGCTACAAGCTGCTTGATGACAGCATATACCAGAGTAGAGGTGGTAAGTGCAGCTCCCAGAGCTGGTGGTAAACATACCCACCAAGTTGGAAAGCCTACCTGGTTGGAACCAAAGCCAAACTGTCTGCTTTAATCCTAGCAATGCTGTTTAGCAGATGAAACATTCGTGGTCAGAAAAAGATAGAGATTTACAGTAAAGACATATTAAAAAAACCTCTAAATGATTTGAAGTGTGTTTAAAAATATATGTATGCTTGGGAGAGAAAAGGAATAGGATAACGTGGTTAAACACAAAATAGAGTGACTAGGTGTGGTGGTACATACGTTTAATCCCAGCACTCGGGAGGCAGAGGCAGGCAGATTTCTGTGATTTCAAGGCCAGCCTGGTCTACAGAGTGAATTCCAGGATAGCCAAAAATACACAGATGTTGAGGAAGTCCTGTGTCAATAAAGCACTGCTGACTGCTGGCCAATAGGAATCTAGATAGGTGGGACTAGGAGTCCAGGAGGACTCTGGGAAGCGAGCCTCATGAATCTCCGCTTGTCGCTAGCAAAACAGAGCCCACCTGAGAAAAATGCTGCTATCAAAAATCTGTGCTTCTCTCCGTTCTTCTGTTTCTAAAATTCCTTTAAAGCTTTGTCATTCTACCTGTAAATTCATCATCCCACTCCTGATCACCATTATGTAAAAGGAAGCTTTTTCCTTGAGAGAAGCCTTCCTGCCAGCCTGGTTCCAGAGCCGCATCAGTCCCAAATAAACACACAGGAGGCTATATTAATTATGAAGCTGTTGGCCTTGCTCGTTTCTTACTGGCTACCTCTGACTTAAGTAATTACCCCATAATTGTTAATCTAAGTATTTCTCTTACCGGAGAATAGTTCCGGGCTTCCTACCCCATGGCGTTACATCTTGACTCTCTGTGTTTCTCTTTCCCAGAGTCCTTTTGGACTCCTAGTCCCACCTATCTTGATTCCCTATTGGCCAGCAGTGCTTTATTGACAAATGCACAGGACTTCCCCCAACACACAGAGAAGCCCAATCTCAAAATAAAAGTAAAAAAATAGAGTAACAAAAAATGCCATGTAAGAATGAAAAATACGATCTTGGATCAGCCGGAGGAAGATCCTGAGCGACTGCAGCCCTAGTGTCTGCAACCTCAGGCCGGCCTACCTCCCTGCTGGGGTCTCGGCTGCTGGATCCTGGCCGCCCTCCAGCCGTGTCTGCTCTCTGCTTTCTCTGCTTCCTTGTCCTGACATCCCCCTCCCATCCAGAAAGCTGCCCAGCCACCAGCAGCCCCCAGTGCCACCATGGCAACTGCACCATACAACTACTCGTACATCTTTAAGTATATTATTATTGGGGATATGGGAGTAGGAAAATCTTGCTTGCTTCATCAATTTACAGAAAAAAAAATTATGGCTGACTGTCCTCACACAATTGGTGTTGAATTTGGTACAAGGATAATTGAAGTTAGTGGCCAAAAAATCAAACTGCAGATTTGGGATACAGCAGGACAGGAACGGTTCCGAGCTGTTACACGGAGCTACTACAGAGGGGCTGCAGGCGCACTCATGGTGTATGACATCACCAGAAGAAGTACATATAACCACTTAAGCAGCTGGTTGACAGATGCAAGGAATCTCACCAATCCAAACACTGTAATAATTCTCATAGGAAATAAAGCAGATTTGGAAGCACAGAGAGATGTTAGCTATGAAGAAGCCAAACAGTTTGCTGAAGAAAACGGCTTATTGTTCCTTGAAGCAAGTGCAAAAACGGGAGAGAATGTAGAAGATGCTTTTCTTGAGGCTGCCAAGAAAATCTATCAGAACATTCAGGATGGAAGCCTGGATCTGAATGCTGCCGAGTCTGGTGTACAACACAAACCCTCAGCCCCGCAGGGAGGACGGCTAACCAGTGAACCCCAACCCCAGAGAGAAGGCTGTGGCTGCTAGTGACCTCTTTGCTCTTGCCCCTCATTTGACCTTTCACATCTGTCTGTTGGGAGCAGTACTTTTTACTGTTTCCTTGTCTTCTGTACATCTTACTGGGTTTAATTAAAAACAGAAAAAAACAACTCTTGTAAAAACAGTTTAACAATACCAAACTGCTAAACAACTAGATGTAATCAGGTTATCAAAGGCAAGTAGAGTAATAAATCTCTCCTGCATGGTAAATCTAGACTTTCCCCCTTTGATTGTCCTCGTGATAGGTTTGTCACCAATATATGATTTAAAATGAGCACTGATGCGGGACTCGATTTTTACCTTCCCCTTTGGCATGGCTTTGTCTCACTGTACGGTTAGATTCGATCTCTTCGGACTTTCTCCCATCTTTAAACTGTTCAAGTATGTCTGTTGTAGCAAGAAAGTTCATTGCTGTGAAATGACTTCCGATGGTAGAGAAAAGGGGGTCTGCAACTGCTTTTGTTTTTGTTGGATAAATTCCCTGTTGTAGAGGTGGCATTTTTCTTGATGAGGTTTGCTTGTCTTAGCCTTGCACAGGGAATAATACCCATTTACCTTTTCTTTTGCTTAATTAATAGCTTTATTTTTTTGCACCATTTTATCCTTTTCTCTTTAACAGAAAGTAAATATGTATAAAATTTGAAGAAACCTAACTAACAATACCTTCTGTGTATATTATTGTAATGAAGAAAATAAATTGATTACTGGCATTGGAACAGTATAAAATACCAGTTTGTACAGTGTGACCTATTGTGACTATGTTACTCTCTTCCATTTCACACAAGGAAATAGACACAACTGCAGTTTCACAAGTAACACTGGCTCCACTCCTTGGTGCTGGCAGTGACTGGGGACAGAAATAGTGCTAGAAAGAGCTCCTGGCATCAGCGGAAACACTAGTGGATTCTAGTCCATCTTTGCACTGTGGCTTACCTGCTGATTTTCTTAACTGTTCTTGTATAATCAACAATGTGCTAACCTGCTTTTCTTTTTGTAAACATTTTGTGTTACAGGCTGCATTCTTGCCTTACTGTATAGAAAAAAGGAAGAAGGCTGGGTTTAATATTGCACATTTTAAGCTTTTATACCTTTATTTTGGAATGGTCAACTTCTGGACAAGATAGCCAGAACCACAGGTCTGCTTTTAAGGGAATTTAAATTGTGTGTTTTTAACACTACAGTGAAGTAATTTAATACTATCCCTTGTGTTCATAGGGTTGAGGGGCTATTTTATGTCATGTTGGTCTAAATTGTTTAGTAAAAGGGAAAAATGTTTCTAAGTGTGTGTGCTGACATAAAGTTACTACTTTTCACTGGGTGGTCTGGCCACAAGAACACCTTGCAAAGGAAACAAACCTTTAGAAGGAAGGCATATGCTTTCCTCAGTTGTTCAGTCTGTGGTTTCTAGCTGAGTTGACAGTGGCTGGGAATCAAAAGGTCATTGAAGTGCACGCAGGGAAGCCCAAGCACATTATATAAAATGCTCTCAGCTAGATGCTGTGTTTAAAATTCACAGTTTAAATCCCTCTTTTACCAGACACTAATGTAAGAATACATCTTTCTGGATTATAAACATGTAGTAGGTCCAGAGTTTTGTATAGTTGATGTTAAATAAAAGCCAAAACTGGAATGTGCAGAAAATAGGATTCGGTTTATTTGTGAATTCATCTTTTGTCTTTGTTTAACTTAAAGGATTCCTGGAGTAGATTGGTATCTTCTGTTAAAGACTTACAGAGATCCATTTGCTTACACTGTTGCATCGCAAGGGATTCACCCAGGGACCATGACCTGCTGGTGTGTATGTATATATTTACAAAAAAAAAAACCAACCCCACCCAAATCACCCATCGGGATATAAGGTAGCAATCACAAACTAAAGACGACTTCAGCTTGGTGAGGTGCAATACCCTGACTCAGTTAGTTACAGTGGGTCTTGATTGTTTTTGTGACAGGATTTATTCAGACTGCTGTACTCTTCATTTGATGTAACAAAATGCTATTATCTAAATATTTGTAAATAAAGTACCTGTATGTAGATTAAAAAAAGAATGAAAAATACACAGAGTATGGATACTGTATGTTATTATATTGTCTTTGAATTGTTTAACTGATGAGGAAATAGCAACAGCTTCTAACAGACTTTGATTATAAATGTTGTTGGATTAATTCAAACTACCCATTTTGAAAATTCCTTGTCTTCATAATTTAAGTCTAAAGGCAGGTTACTTTGGAAAAGGGGTTCTGCTTTTATTTCCACAGAAAATGAAGAGCTATGGATCCCTTCCAGAGTAATATGATTTGATCAAACAAGACCCCCTGAACCAGTGGCCCAGGTGATCCAACATCCAAAACTAGTGAAACAATTCAGCCTCAGACTACTACAGTCAAGATTTGGCCATGCTTCTGGGTTTTCTCAGGATCTCCTAGGGATTTTCAGTGCCTCCAAACAGCAGGAAGTAGTTTGGAGAGAACTATACCCACATTCCCAAATATTGTTTATAAATGTTTGTTTTCATTTAGTTGGGGTAGGTTAGAAATGGCTAATGAACACAGTTAATTTCTTTCCAAAGAAAAATAAGGGAATAAGATATAGAAATGTGTTTTTTGCATTGGTATGGATTTTGGTTTATTGATACAAATTTAAGGTCAATTCTGTTATATGTATATTTCTATTCTTGTTTAGGTATTATGTTTATACAGATATTTTAAAAATGTAACATACAATAAAATACAGATTACAGATAGCAACCTATAATAGTCAAAACGTACAGTTATGTTAGTTAGGCTTCCTAGATATACAAAGATATACTTCAAATGGATAGGCATTCTTTAATTCCTTTCAAAGAGCTACAGAATATGGCATTTAAAATGGTCTATCAAAAATGGTTTATTAGGGTTTTTCATGACAAAGAGACACAACTGCTCCTCACATCACCGATTACATCAGAGAGGAAGATGAGCATCAACGAAACTCATTATGGAGTTTGCCTACAACATGGCATTACTAGCCACTTGGACAAGAAACTGTTCTTGTCTGGACTGTTGTATAAACTGGAAAGCAGACTAGTATTCTGAAAGAGTAGAAGGAGCCTGAGTTTACCAATGGTTGGTTTCAGACAAACTGAAAAGTCAGCAAAATTTTATGAGATATCTGGAATGTCCTTTAGGAGAAAGTTAAATAACATTAAAAAGAAAAATCTTTCACTCATTAAGGATTGGAAATATCATTGTTGTAATTTAAAGAGTAGCATGTGAGAGGAAGATGCCATGCAACATTGACTTCAAGTGGAAGGGATTTTTATTAGGGAAAATGGTTCATAAAAAGGGGAAAGGGGAGGGAGGAGATCAACTGTAATGCAGGCATGTGGTAATATTTTGTTTGTGACCTAACAAATAAAGCTTGCCTGAAGATCAGAGTGTGGAACTAGGCACTAGTTAGCCATAGCGGCCAAGCAGTGATGGATGCAACACAGCTAAACTTATGGGATACTATGAAAGCAGTGCTAAGAGGAAAGTTCATAGCACTAAGTGCCTACATGAAGAATGTGGAAAAATCTCACACTAGAGGCTTCATAGCACATCGGAAAGCTCTAGAACAAAAAGAAGCAAACTCATCCAGGAGGAGTAGACAACAGGAAATAATCAAATTGAGGGCATAAACCAATAAAAAAAAACAAAGAGAACAATACAAAGAATGATGGCACATGCCTTTAATCCCAGCACTCAGGAGGCAGAGACAGGTAGATCTCTGTGAGTTCCAGGCCAGCCTGGTGGGGTGAATGGGAGGACAGGAGGGGAAGGGAACTGTGATTGGTATGTAAAATAAGATTGGTTTTAATTTAAATAAAAATTAAAAAAAAGAGTTCTATGACCATCTGAGTCTTAAATAAAAGTATGCTCACTTTGGAATAAAAAAAGATGCATTTAATGGGTCCCCCTAATTCTTCCCAAGTGGTTTATGATTTACAGAAAGAAATTAAAGAAACTTTTGCAAAAAAGTTACTGATAAGACAGGAACACACATTATGGAAAGTCTTTCAGATACCATAGCATCATTCAATCCCACTTGAATAGACTGCTTATTATAGCAGGCATTGCTATTGTCCTAGGTATAGTAACTTTATTGGCTTTAAAATGTTCCATTTTAAATTAATTTTTAAAGATGGAGTCCTATGTTAAATTATTTTACTGTATGTAGATTTAGATGTGTTTACACTACCATGTGTTGAAAAACATCATTTCTGAACAATATTGTCTTTGATTTTTTTGAAAAAAAATAGGTGAGTCTATTTATGTGATTTTTCTTTCTGGACCCTACTCTTTGCCATTCATATCTTAAAATTCTTCCATCAATACTATATGTCACTGATTGGTGTATTATTGTATTAAATCTTGAAGTGTCAGTATTCTGTTTTTCCTTTATTTTTGTATTGGTTGTTCTCTATATTTTCTTCTTTCATATAAACATTAGAGTCAGTTAGTAGATATTTAGAAAATAATTTGTTAGGGGGAGGTGTTGAAAATTCATTGAATCAAGCTGGGGATACCTAGTGTGATAGTTGTTATAATCTGTCAATCCAGCTGGATTAAAGGATGCCTAGGCTGGCGACGTGCATCTGTGGTCTGTGAAAACTGTTCCAGAGAGGACTGACATGCTGAACAGTGACTGCAAAATAGACCACCTTGAATAGAGATGACAAGTGAGGAGATGAATGGAATGATGGTACACACATGTTCATAAAGTCTCTTTCATTAGTGACTGTTTCTATTGTTGTCAGTAGATATCAGATTCCAGTTCTTCAGACTTTCTCAATGCCAGCAACACTACAGCGGACTTGCAGGCTTTTGGCATTGATTTGGCTGCTAATCCATCTTCCTAAGTCAGGAACCAGGAGCTCCGCCTCTCCAGTATGCAGATGACCATGGTTGAACTAACCAGCATCTGCCACATAAGCCAAGTTCCCTTTTATAATATGTGTATACATAACTGTATGAATTCTTTCTCTTTAGAGTTAGACCCATGCCAACATTATACAATATTTAGCTGTTATAAGTTGAGTTCTCTGTAACAATTTCTGTCTTGTTTTATTTCACATTATTATAACAAACTGCTTGGGATTAAAATTACTAATGCTCAAATACCTGAATATTGGGAAGTTCAAGATTAGCACAATAGCACCTGAGAAGAGATTTCTTTTACTGTATCATCATATATAGAATGCAAAAAGGGCAACTAGGCAAAAGGTAGTTGAAATTATTCTTCTAGACTGACATTAATCCTACCAACTGAGATATGGATTGACTAGCATGCTGGTTAGTTAACTGTTAACTTGACACAGCCTAGAATTGTATGCAAAAGGTATTCATGGTAAACATTCTAAACCATGTTGGCCTGTAGGCATGTTTATATGTAGTTGCCTTGTTTGTTAACTTGTGTAGAAACACCTAGCCCACTGTGGGTGGTAATGTAAGTTGGTCTTGACTCTGTATCATATAAGATTGCTAGCAAGTAAGCATTTAGGCAGCATAGGTACCTTTGTTTCTCTGTGCTCTTAAGGTGATATGATTAGCTCTCACAAGCTCCCACCTCTTTGAATTTCCTGCATTGATAGAGTTGTCAGCTAGAATAAACTCTTGTTCCCTTAAATTATTTTTGTAAGTGTATTTTATCACAGTAACAGAAATGTTCAAAGGAAAGAACATAAAGTAAAGGCATGAAGGAGTGTTG